TTGTCTAATTAGGTCTCGTCATTTTGGTATGAGAGCTTTAGGCTCTGATCTCTGTTCCCATCTAGTGTATTGATTGCATGAATTTATATAGTATTCATTTAGTTTGAAGCAAGTGTTCCAAGTCCTAATTGATGAATTTGAAGCTGATTGCTACCTTAAGGGTATCGAAACCGCGATTGGATCTTGTCGCCTTTGTGAACATCTATCATTGCTTAGCCTTGATTTTGAGCATCAAATGTGTCATATTCATCAAGATTGAACAATAAGACATTGTCGAACCAACAACAATTCTTGATTAAGCCCTAATCAAAGTAAGCACTATCGCGTGTGAGTCATTTCTTCTCCTCTTCGATTTAGTTCAAAGTCAACATCAAGATTCAGATCTGGTTTGTTTCCTTTTATTTGATGTGTTTTGAAGTCACAATTTTCCTATTGTCGAACCCTACTTGAAATGCACTCTCAATCGTGTTAAGATTCAAACTTGAATCCAACACCCTATTGGGACCTGAACTCAAATCCGACACCCAAGTTGAGATCCGAACTTGAACTGAGAAATTTGGGGAGATTTGAACTCGATTCAAAGCTTCGATCTAAGATCCGACTTGATCCAACAAACCCTAGGTGAAATTCGACACCCAAGTTGAGATCCGAACTCGATTTGAGAAATTTGGGGAGATCCGAACTCGATTCGAATCTTCGTTCTGAGATCCGACTTGATCCAACAAACCCTAGGTGAGATCTGACTTCGCGATGGGTATGGAAACTTGATTTCTCATACTTTGACTTGAGTTATGACTAGATTTCTGATTGACTCTTAACCTGATCGATTGTAGCTTCTATCTTAGCTTTAGTTTCATCACTAACTTTGATTTTGATAGCTAGTGTGACTTCTTCGAATTAGTTCACGATTGGCCTAATCTTTTGAATTCCATTTTGAATCAGGCTACAACTTTTCGATTTCAACTAGGTTCACGATTCTTGCATTTGAATTGGAAGAATAATTGAATTTGACTTGGAACATTGATGTGTCAATTTTTTATTTGTGGTCTTTAGGCCATCGATTCTAGTCTAGTGGGTGAGTTCACAGTTCTTCGATTTAGTGAGTTTACAATTTCTTGGTTTAATCAAGACCTGAATATATAGTGCACTTGTATACTATTAACTCAACTTGATGGCTAATAAAGGGCGAGGAGTTCAAGGTGGTGCTTTTGTTGCAAATTTGGGTGAAGAAATTGAGATTAAGGGGAACAATGGAAACCAAAATGAAAGGGAAGCCAACTGAACCTTTGATTGCGCTGTTTGCTTCATTCGGGTGTGGCTGCGGGGATACTTTACATTATTTCAGCACTGTTTTAGACCCTAGAGGTAAGTTGCTGTTCTAGTTGGGTTGTTTCAGAGTTGTTTGCTTCCTTGCTTTTTTCATTCCTTTTCTATGGTCGAGGAGAGTGGATTTGCTGAAGGCGAGAGTCAAGCACCTAAGAGCACCAAGGAGAGTGGGTTGAGTCATGTTGTGACTCTTGGTTATAGCCCCTCACTTCAAATTTGTCCTGCTAAGCTTGATGGTACCATTCCTATAGTCTTGCTATTGCTGCCGTTTGACTGGATATATTATTGGTGGCCTCAAGCAACCTGATGATGATGGTGATTTGCATACTCAATGGGTTTCAGAAAATGCTTTTGTGATGACTTGGCTGATCAATTCCATGTAGCCTAACTTTTCTTTTATTGGACATTGCTCTCTCACAAGATTTGGACAGCTGCGGCATACATGTACTCTCAAAAGGGTAATGATGCCTAATTTGGGGCTTAGATAAGAAGGATCAAACTCTTGCGGTATATTATGTTGAGTTAAGTAGCTTGTGGTAAGAACTTGATTATTACTAGAGCTTCCGGGTTGGTTGTTCTAAGGATGCCACTTTGTTTCAGCAGACCGTACGTAGAGAAGGAGCGTGTTTACAACTTTCTTGCTAGCCTTAATTTGGAGTATGATCAGATTGGCATTCAAGTGTTGGATTGCTCTCCGTTTCCAGGAATTTTTATTATTCCTAAATAACTACTGAAGTAGCACGGGTTGGGTATAAATTAGCACATTGTGGAACAACCTACCTCGCAATAACTCTTCATTGGGCTGAAGAAATACTTTTCCAGGATTACCTCATGAACCATTAGAGAAAGTAGAGTATGGAAAATATTTTTCAGAAAGAGGGTGTTATTTTCTAGGATGACATATGACGGAGCAAGATCTAAATGATCTAGATGCAATGATGGAATAATACCTTGTTTAGCAACCATGAATGACTTCAACTCCTTGAACATAGATTGCAAGGCGGGAGATGGGGCATTGTCAAATGTCGGCGTTGCAAGAGTCGCAAAATGGCAAGATAGTTGTTGTGATGACCGAGATGATGATAGGGTGAAGGAATGAGTGGAATAGTGTCCTTTGGGCTACAGAAGTATAGGACACGGATGTTGGCGGAGATATGGGCTTGCCAATAACTTGAACCAAATGTGATGCTAGAATAGGCAAGAGAGGAGTAGCAAATATTGACTACGAAGGAGAGGCAACATGAGCTACTTTAAATCGGGTTTCCTTCGCAATGAGTTCGCGAACCATCTCATCAACTGAAGGTAAGGGAGACCGATGTAAGATAGCTCTTTGAAGTGGCTCAAATTGATCATGAAGAGCTATTAGAAATTGAACAAGTCGCCGTTTTTCCTTGTACTTCATATAATTGTCAAGCAATTGTAGATTTGGTGGTTCTATAAGAGCCAGCTGATCCCAATAAGCAGTCATCTCATTATAAAACTCTTTAATAGACTTCTCTTTCTGTGTGGAGCTGCAAATAGAGATTTCAAGCTCATATTGTTTGGCACTCAAGATGCATATTATTTAAATATTCCCAAACTTGCTTAGAGAAGTTCATACCAATGCTTGGTTGCACTAAGTTAAGAGAAGTTCATACCGACGCTCGGTTGTACTGTCACACTAATAACATACCCCTTCATTCCCTTGCCTTCAATAAAATTCTTCATAACACTAGACTAATAGGATTAGTTGGTTTCATCTAAACGAATGCTATTAGCATGCGACTTTTCCTTAAGCATATTGTAAATAGAGTCAACAATATTATGTAAAAAATGATTGATTTCAACTGATTAGAACTAACCCAAACACTTCCAATTTCACAGATGGAGAAATCGTAATTAGATAGTAAAGCCAACTAGTATGTTAAGATCACGTAAGACAGTTGCACAAGAAGTCTCCAATGGCTTACTAGACGAAGGTGTGGACTACCAACTGAGAGTGAGAGGAGGACAAAGGATTGTGAACCTTCCTAGGGTTTCACCTATTGCAATGAGTCAAGCAAAGTGGGGTATGGGTTATGATGGCTCTAGTATTGCAGACGGATCGCCATCAAAGAGACTTGTGGGTCATGGGTTATGACCGAATAGACTCATGGGTTGTGGGTCGCAACAAGTAGTGAATGGGTGGCAATTGAAGAGAGTGGATTAACGAAAGAGAAGATGAAGACGAGCAAAAGTCAAACATCTTCTTGAGTCGAACAAGAATCAAATAAAGATGAACTAGAGGCATGAGGGAGGTGAAGGCCTAAAGGCTACCATTGACAGAATTGCAAAGCTTTCCGGCAAAGGTTTAGCACTAGAAATAGTACGGCTAGGCTTTGATATCATGATAGCAACGTAACCAGAATATTGTATTATTGTATATTAATCATCAATGCCAAGTACAAGTTAAATAGGCCAAAATATGAAACTCTAAAACTCTAATAACATATTTTAAGACTAAGCTACCCTCAAGTATTAAACTAAATAACATAAGATATTTCACAACTAGATGATGATTTCAAGTGAAGGATGGTAGATCTCCAAGTAGAATCCAAGAATGGTAAGAGAACTTCAAATTCCACTACTTCTAGGTTAATCTTTGTTGCTAAGAGGCAACTCTCTAAATAAGAATGAGACTTGGGTGTGGTAGAGATGGCTAAAGAAGTTTTGTTTCTAAGAGAATATACGAAGAAAAATAAAGAAAATCAAAGGGAAGGTTGAGATGTACAGTATGGCATAGGACCCTCTCATACCTTATACATAATAAAGCAGCCATATACATCTACCTCGTGATGGAAAAATCCATAGGATGATGAATGGTGGGAAATAAAAGTGATTTTGGATAGATTCACAAGCAAATAATACTGATGGTATTGTATGTCATGAGATGTTTATCATGCAAAGTAGACAAAATAATAAATATAAATGTGCCATATGTGTAAGGTGATATAGAAAAACCATGGTCCCTGTTCCTTGTGATGCTATCTTACTAATATAAATGCAATCTTTACATATTACAAGGGGAAAAGATGACAAATTTGATGTGACACTATCCACGCAAAATAAAATACAATTTTTTTATGTAGGTTGGTTGGGGTTTCCTTGATTTATTCATGTATTTATTATTTTCTTTCTTCATTCAAGCGTGTATGCATCATTTTATTAAATACCATAAATCACATACATATATGCAAGCAAGACATCATCTATACATTAGTTAGATCATAATAAAGTCAAACTAACCATGATTAATTATTCTAGCACTCTATGTGGATCTAGTGTAACATCTTACATATTGATCAAATTCATTTGAATAATTGTAGTGAGTGATCCAATCTAATTCATTTAATTAGTGTCTCAAAGTGATTTCCCAAAAATTGTGTAACAGGGTATTCAAGAATCATGCTTAATTAATTCATACACCAATTATTAATTATGAAATTCATCAATTGAATACTAATTAAGTCTAATTTAAACTAGAGTCTATAGTTTCTACATAGATTGCACTTCTATCTAATTTATATAGATCAAGGCCAAAGCTTTGTAATTAGTTGTATAGAAACATAATTTCTCATCAATGCTTTCTCTTTTCTTCTAGTTTGCTCCTTTATGGGATGTTCACTAACCGAAGAATTCATTACTTTTTCTTGCAGGAAGACTTGTACTACCCACATCCTTTGGTACAGGATGTACTTTGGGCATCTCTTGACAAGGTTGTGGAACCAATTTTTTTGCATTGGCCTGGGAAAAAGCTGAGAGAGAAGGCCCTTCGTTTTGTGATGGAGCACATTCATTATGAAGATGAGAATACTCGATATATATGCATAGGGCCTGTAAACAAGGTATGCATTTGATCTCAATGGTGATCTTTTATTGTTTTGAATTTTTCATCAATATATTCGAGTGCCAAGATCTATTTGAATAACTTAACTCCCTTCCTCCAATTTGGTAGTTCATTCAATAAAATCCAACTTGTTAAGTAGAACCAAAGTTTTCAAAAGCGTACTTGGGGTTCGCCATTGAGGCGAAGTGTGATGAAAACGCATAGGTGCATTGATTTTTAGGTGAAGTACCAGCTATGCATAAGCCTCAACCTATGAGGCGTTCACATCAATCACGTTTTTGCGCTTTTCACACATCAAAGATTGAAGTGTATGACTTCGAATCAGAAGAAATATACATCCCACAGATGCAAAATCACAAACAATCAAAGTTTCTTCAGAGTCAAAACACTTATGCTTGACTTCATCATGTCTTCCTCCAACGATTTAGGGTTTTCACACTTCTCTGCCTCGTCGTTCTCTCTCTCTCTCTCTCTCTCTCTCTCGTTTTCTCTCTCAAGTTCTCATTGTCATTCTGTCTCTCTCCTCTATTTTGGCTGAATGACTTTTGGTTAGACTCTTTGTATTTATTGCATAATAGGTCTCTTCCTTTATTTTTCTTTGTTTTTAGCTGGATGACCTTTGGTTGGACTCTTTGTATTTATTGTATAGTTCTCTTCTTTCTTTTTTGGTTGAATGACCTTTGGTTACTCTTTGTATTTATTACATAACAGTCTTTTTTATTGGCTAATTTATTAATTCATTTTATTTTTAGGCATAAAATTGTTTTTATGAATTTTATTTACTATTTTTTAAATTTTTATACTCTTTTTATGCTATATTTATTTAAATTTATATTTTATAAAAAAAATCAAAATTTAAAACGCCTTGCCTCGTCGTGTGTAAAACGCCTCACCTTGCACTTTCGCCTTTAAAAACTTTGAGTTGAACCATTTGATGCATTCATAATTGACTGGGGAGGTGCAATTTTTCGAAATTAATCCTTCACCCCAACTTGATTTTATTGACTATTTTTGAGCCATGTTACATTGACTTGGGTATGATTTTTGGATGCGGGTGTCTAAGCACCAGAATTTCATAAACCTAAATCTTAGTGTCATGATCCCATCCCATCTCAAACTGAGATAGAGCAGTGACCGGCTAGTAGTCATAGACTACCAAAGGCCTAACTAAACAAACATGTAGTATTTGGTGTGTAACTTGTCTAAAACTTTAACATGTTTATTCCACTACATCCATTCAGAACAAGTGCATAAATAGATGAAGTGAAATATTCATTATTCTTTTTGTAGGCTTAACACAAAAGAGTACAAAAGTTTACAAAGAGAGAAACTTGTTCTTGTAAAGACTGAATATATACAAAGCTTTCAAACATCAAATTCAACTAGGCATATAAGCCTTCACGTCTATTCACATATGTACATAGCTTCAAATACAAAATCTTCAAGCTTTATCACCATCACCTACATACATATACAAGGGAAAGGGATAAGCCAAAGCCCAATGAATAACATTAAACCAAAGCTACAATAAGAATGGATACCTTCGTTCTTATGACAATAACATAGTTGAACAAATAGCTTATTCAGCTTGAAACATATTAGCATCATATGCATTCCTTTTCCTAAAACATGATAATGTACATCCAACGTAACGAAACAAAGGAATAGGCGGCCTGGCTACCGGCTAAACAAACCCACACACGTGGCAAAGAAGAACTAAATCATATGCTATTAGTAAGTCTGTTGTCCCCTAGTACATGGGACTAACTGAGAAGGTCATTTATATACTTTTCCAAACGTAGGTAGCATTGGATATCCATTTGTATAAAACATTTCAATAGAGTTCATTACATAATATAGTATGAGTTCTAAAATAGAAGCTCAATACATGACTTTGGTGAAACAGTACTCACCACAAGTCTTACTACTTGTTAGTCACATCACATACAGCAATGCGTTGATGATGCTTGCTCTAAATGTTGTGAAATTAAGTTTACATGCATATTGGAGGTATTTTCCTTTAAAAAAAGTGATTTTGGAAAATCCATACCTTTCAAAAATCTCATCTTCTTACCTATTTTCAGTTTTACGTTTTGTTTTTTTATGCTGAAAACAGTAGATGCAGGTCATAAAGAGTCAATTTAAATATTAAAAAAAATATGTTGGATCTACCATGGTTCGCTTGATTGGAGGTGATGATCACTTGAGTGGCCTGGTCCAGCCTCTTGTATTTTGACCTGTTTTCAATTTTTTTTTTTTAGTCCTCTTGCTGTCTTGGTTCAAAATCATTATTCCTAGGGCCTGAAATGTTAGAATTAGTGTCAGAATAGGAAATAATATTGCATATATTTTATTCTTATTTGATTGATTGATGTAATGGGCTGGCCCATAATTTATGCCTGGTGGCACTCCTGTAATTACGCATTGTTATCAATATAGAAGGGGATGAGGTCTTACTCATTCCTAATATCTTTCTCTTCTCTAAACTTACATGGTATCAGTGCCAGCCCTAACCATCTCTCCTTCTCTGCCACCCAGCACCACCAGTTGCCTCCTCTCTCATTCCTACCATACGACACACCCTTGTAAGTCCTCCTAGCCACCCGACAACCTCTTCCTTTCTTCCTCTAACCCCGACAGCCTCCTCCATCCCCATCCAAGCCTTGCTCTCCCCCCGACACCCCCAACCTTCCCTTTCCTTTCCCTCGGTAGGCCCCGCCAGCCACTGCCGAGGGCCCCCAGGTGGCCGACCAGCCTCTGTGCTGGTCTGGTTGAGTTCGGCAACCCTTCTAGGGTAGCATGAGTTCGTTTCTTCCCTTATGGGATCTTCTGGTGTCCTTCCTGAAACCCTTTTCTCTTTTAATCTCCCTCTATTGCTGGAAATCAATTGTAGCAGTGCTGATTGATGGTGGTGATGATGCTATTCAACACCGGCGATGGTGACGGTAGTAGTCAACGAATGTGGCAGTGGTGTATATCAATGTTGGCTGTGAATGATGGTGACTGTCTTTCTTTGAGATTTTCATAGCACCAACCTAATCGACCGCCGGACCAAAGGTTTTGCCTCAGTCGATTTTGAATGGCCTATGGGTCGGCATCGGGTGACAATTTCTTCAATCCGATACATTCGGTTTGGTTGCCGGGCTGAGAGTAAATCTGAACCGAACCGAACCGAACCGTCCCGCGCACACCCCTAGATAACATATAACACTTAATTTTCTTACTTTATTTTAACCATTTAACTTGTGTTGGTTCCTAGCTTTATTAACTCTTAACAATACTCATTTCATGCATTAAAAAAAAAAATGTTTGGAAAGGAAAAAGAAAGAAAATATGAACAAAAAGATAGTTTTTTTAAAATTGGCTGAAACAGGGCATCCGCTCAAGCTGTCCTTTCACCGCTTGAGTGGTGAATGCGAGTTCTCAGCAATTTTTTCCATAAAATAAAACAATGTTTGCCTCAAATGTTCACTCTAGCTGTAACAAGATTGCTCGAGCGGTCTGTAAAAATCCTGTTTTCGAAAATCTGAAGAAATGGCTTCCAAAATTTGCATATTGTATAATATTCTTAGACAATATGTTAGAAATGTTATCTCTCTAACAAATATAAGTTTCTTCTTATTAAAACATTGTTAAAAGTTAGAGGATCCAAGTGTCTGTGGGTGATGGACACTGACCCTTATCATATCCGGTGGACTCAGTTACTTCGGGGGAAATAGAAGAGTCCATATAACATGACATGACTTTTGACAGTGGACAACTACACTGGGATATCCAAATTTGGACAGAGTGATCTTGAAGAGTCAACGACCATGATAATTAGTTCTAACATTTCATAATATTAATCTCTCAGATTATTTGATTTTTTCATACAGTGGTTAAAACTTGGTCTACTAACCTTGAGGTTGTGGGTTCGAACCAGTGGACAGTTCGGTTGGGTTTATACCCAATCTTCCTATCCTTGACCCCTGCCCAATGGGAACCAAACTGGCATGCCTTCTACTCTACTTATATGATCCTAAGATTTTTTGCACGACTTTACATTGCTATTCTTTTTCCTTTCTCCTTTCTAGTAAATGCACATAATTAACTGGTAAGTTTCATTTCTTTGTTTCTCTGTTTTCTTTTGTAGACTCTTTTGGCCTTTTCTCTCTATTTTTTCATTCTATGAGAAATCAAAATGATTGCTGAGATTGTCAACCTTAAGTAGTCATTCGATTTTCTTCTCTAAATGGAAATTTGAAACACAGGTTCTAAATATGCTTTGCTGTTGGGCGGAAGATCCAAATTCAGAGGCCTTCAAGTTGCATCTTCCAAGAATCTATGATTATCTGTGGCTTGCTGAAGACGGCATGAAAATGCAGGTCGTCAAATAGTGCCAAACATTTAATTACTTAATTATGGTTGACCCCCACATCTTTCTATATACGATCAGTGAAAATCTATCATTCTACTGTTTTTTATTAGTTAAAGGTTGAAGATTCTAGCTTTTTGGATCTATGAAAATTTTCCATCCTTGTACATACTGGAAATGTTATTACCACTTCAGTGGCTATATGAATCTTTTGCAGGGTTATAATGGAAGTCAATTATGGGACACTGCTTTTGCTGTTCAAGCCATTGTTTCAGCAAATCTTGCTGAAGAATTTGGCCTGACTCTTAAGAAGGCACATACCTACTTAAAAAAGGCACAGGTGGTTCTCTCTCTCTCTCTCTCTATATATATATATATATAAGTACAATACAAGTGGTTCTCATTTTTTATTGTTTGTGATTCGCTTATCCTACAATATGTTTTGCAGTCTTGGATTTTCTTGATTTAACCCCCTGCTTTTATTTTCTTTTGACCCCCTTCTATTTTCTTTAAAGGTTTTAGATGATTGCCCAGGCAATCTTGATTTCTGGTATCGCCACATATCAAAAGGTGCTTGGCCTTTCTCAACAGCAGATCATGGATGGCCCATCTCTGACTGCACAGCTGAAGGATTGAAAGTAATTATGGATCAAACTCAAAGTTTTTTTTCTTTGCACATTTCTTAGTTGTAACTTATAGTTCAATTCTTTTTCAGGCTGTTCTTCTATTATCAAAACAGTCATCAGACATTGTTGGCAAACCACTTGATGTAATGCGGTTATATGATGCAGTAAATGTTATTCTTTCTCTACAGGTAACTCAAATTTTGATCTAGTTTAATTAACTCGTGTTAATTAATCTGAAACACATTGCCTGGTTTTATTTATTTGTTCACTGTCAATGGTTGATATACTTGAAGGTTTTGTTGGAAATGGGAAGAAAATAATTCTGCCAGGATATGGCTGAATTCTTTGGGATGTCACAGTTGTAAATATTTAGATTTAGTCAATACTATAAAATAGGAAAGTTTATATTTAGAATCAGAATTAGTAGCTAATTAGTAGCTAATCAGTCCTCAGAATCAGTAGCTAGTTAGTAGCTAATCAGTCCCTAATTTTATGCCTTGTATCTCCTATAAATAGAGGTGCTGTGTACATTTTTTAAATATGAGAATAAGAAATATTATTCTTTCTAGCTTTCATGGTGTCAGAGCTAGGGACTTATTCTCTGACCCTTCTGAGCTAATCCTAGAACCTGCTAGCTATCCTTTACCATGTCAGAAACCACATCTGAATCCACTGTTACTGCTTTCACCGAAAAACATTGAGAAACATGCCTCCAACATTGATTCTCACTCGGTGCAAATCACCAGCATTAAACTCAATGGTGATAATTTCTTGCGTTGGTCTTAGTCAGTCCGGATGTACATTTGGGGCCGAGCAAAGATCGGATACTTGATAGGAGAGAAGAAGGCACCGGCAAAAGAGGATTCGGCGTATGCTACCTTGGATGCTAAAAACTCCATGGTCATGACATGGTTAGTGAATTCCATGGAAGAAGACATCAGCTCCAACTATATATGTTATCCAATAGCTAAAGAACTGTGGGATAATATCACCCAGATGTATTTGGATTAGGGAAATCAGTCCCAAATATATGAGTTGACAGTTAAACTTGGTGAAATTCGTCAAGGAGAGGACAGTGTCACTAAGTACTTCAATTCTTTGAAAAGGCTGTGGTAAGATTTGGACATGTTCAATGATTATGAGTGGAAGTCAACCAAGGACTGCAATCACAACAGAAAGATGGTGGAGGATCACCATATCTACAAATTCCTTGCCAGCTTAAACATCGAATTTGATGAAGTCAAAGGGATAATAATTGGCCTCCAACCTCTGCCTCCTATTGGTGATGCCTTTGTTGAAGGTAGGAGAGAAGAAAGCTACAGGAATGTGATGGTTGGGAAAAAGGGAGTTGTTGCACCTGTGGAAAACTCAGCCATGATTGCATCGGATGCAAGTGCAAACAAGATTTTTAAACCACGGCAGAATGAAAAATCTCGAGTATGGTGTGATTATTGCAATAAACCACGCCGTACAAGGGAAAACTGCTGGAAGATCCATGGGAAGCCTGCAACTTGGAAGAGCATCAAATCAAGTGACAGACCAATTCATGCATCCTCCTATGCCAACGAGGTTGAAGCAAGTCTGTTCAGTGAGGAGCAGATGGATCATCTTCTTAAACTGCTAAAATCCAATTCTTTATCCAGCACTCCTAGTGGTTCTCTTGCACAGACACGTAGCAATCCTTATGCTCTATCTTGTAGTCAAAATTCTATCCCTTGGATCATTGATTTGGGGGCATCTGATCACATGACTTCTTTCTCTTCTTTATTCAATACTTATGTATTTTGTTCTGAAAGTGAAAGAGTTAGGATTGCTGATGGCAGTTTCTCACCCATCGTAGGAAAAGGTCAAATAAAAATTTCAGAAAATATTACTCCACTCTGTCCTTTATGTTCTTAAACTGGCCTGCAATTTATTGTCTGTCAGTAAATTATCCAAAAACTCTCACTGTCGTGTTGTTTTTCTTTGACTCTCATTGGCAGTGCTAGAATGGCAGTGCTAGAATGGTCAATGGTCTTTACTACTTTGATGATGACATATCCAGCAATAAGACAACTCAAGGCTATGGTTGTAGTAGTAGTTCAATTTCGGCTCGCGAGCAAATTATGCGTTGGCATTTTAGACTAGGGCATCCCAGTTTTTTATATCTTAAACGTTTGTTTCCTAACTTGTTTAAAAATTTGGATTGTTCATCTTTTCAATGTGAAGGTTGTTATTTATCTAAAAGCCATCGAACTACTTATCTTACAAAACCCTACCGTGCCTCTAAACAATTCTACTTAATTCACAGTGATGTGTGGGGTCTCTCCAAGGTTACCACCATGACTGGTGTAAAGTGGTTTGTAACTTTTATAGATGATCACACTCGACTTTGTTGGGTTTATTTGATGAAAGACAAATCCAAAGTAAAAAACGTGTATCAAGATTTTTTCAAAATGGTTGGCAATCAATTTCATTCAAAAATTAGTATTTTTTGATCTGATAATTGAAAAGAGTACTTCAATGCATAACTAGGGAATTTTTTAAGGGAAAAAGGTATTTTTCATCAATCTACATGTCTTGACACTCAACAAAATGGCATTGCCGAAAGAAAAAATAAGTATTTACTGGAAATAGCCCGAGCCATAATGTTTTCTATGTATGTTCCCAAATATCTATGGGGAGATGCCATTTTGACAGCCTCTTATTTAATTAACAGAATGCCTACCCGGGTTTTGCAATATGTCACACCCCTAAGATATTTCAAAAAAACCTTTCTTGATTGCAAAATTAATTGAAATTTGCCTTTAAAAATTTTTGGTTGTACTGTTTTCGTTCACATACCCAGCCAATTTTGATCCAAACTTGATCCTAGAGCAGAAAAATGTGTTTTCATCGGGTCTGCTCCAAACAAAAGAGGCTACAAGTGCTATAATCCCCAAACAAAAAAAAAATTTGGGTGAGTATGGATGTCTCTTTTCTTGAAACTCAATCCTATTTTACCAAAAATTCTTTTCAGGGGGAGAAAGTGAGAAATGAAGAAAATTTTTGGCGGACAACTTCGGATCCCTCACCAAATCCTATTCTCTTATCTCTATCCCTTGTTTTTGAAAAACAAGCACAAAAACAGGGTGTTCAAGATATGGAGAACAAAGGAAATCCCAGTCCAACATCTCGAAACATAGAAGGCTCACAAGTAGGGGGAGAAATACTACAATTTGAACAAACTGTTCCCGAGCCTGAGTTTTTGGTTTATGCTTGGAAAAATACTCAAAAAGTAAAGACCAACCAACCACTCTGCTACAAAGCCAATCAGAATCTCTTGAAAAAGGTCCCTCAAGTAGTTCAGGTAATCCTAATCTGGTTCCTCCTTCATCTGTCTCTACTTCATCTTCATTTCCTTCAGTGGTTTTACCTAATGTTATACCCACAGATTATGATCTTCCTATAGCCATTAGGAAAGGAGTTCGAAAATGTACCCAACATTCCATTGCGAAATATTTATCCTATGATAAACTTTCCAATAGTCATAGAGCATTTACTTCAAAAATATCTAACCTGTTTGTTCCTAGAACTATTAAGGAAGCCTTGGATGACCCTAATTGGAAATTAGCAATTATGGAATAGATGAATGCTCTGGAAAAGAACGGTACTTGGAAGTTAGTGAATCTGCCTAGGGACAAAAAGATAGTAGGTTGCAAATGGGTATTTACAATGAAGTGCAAAGCTGATGGTAGCGTGGAAAGATATAAGGCGAGACTTATGGCAAAAGGGTTTACACAAACCCTCGAGATTGATTACCAAGAAACCTTTGCTCCGGTTGTTAAGATGAACTCAATTCGGGTTTTGCTGTCACTTGCCATTAATTACAGCTGGCCTCTACATCAATTAGATGTAAAAACTGCCTTCTTAAATGGAAATCTAGAAGAAGAAGTCTACATGAACCTACCGCCAGGTTTTGAGAAGAAGTTTGGTATAGATAAAGTCTGCAAATTAAACAAGCCTCTATACGGCCTCAAACAATCCCCAAGGGCGTGGTTTGAACGCTTTGGGAAGGTTGTAAAAACCTTGGATACAGTCAAAGCCAAGCAAACCATACTATGTTCTATAAACACTCAAGAGAAGGTAAAGTAGCTATCTTGGTTGTTTATGTAGATGACATAATTCTAATAGGTAATGATAGTGCTGAATTGGAAAAATTAAAGAAGGGACTTGCTAAAGATTTTGAGATGGACCTGGGAACACTAAACTACTTTCTTGGAATGGAGTTCGCTAGATCTAAGCAGGGCATTTTTGTAACTCAGCGCAAGTACACACTTGACTTGCTCAAAGAAACAGGCTTGCTTGGATGTAAAGCTGCTGAAAACCAACCGAGCCCAACTTGAAGCTACAACATGCTAGAATTGAAGACATGGCGAATATAGACCAGTTTCAGAGACTTGTTAGAAGATTGATCTACTTATCTCATACGCCTCCCGACATAACATTCGCAGTAATCAGAGTAAGCCAATTCATGCATTCACCCAGACAGGAACACTTCGAAGAAGCATATAGGATCTTAAGGTATCTAAAAGGAACTCCTGGTAAAGGTTTGATATTTAAAAAATAAGGACATCTTCAAGTGGAAGTATATACAGATGCGGATTAGGCTGGAAGCATCACTGATCGAAAATCTACCTCAGGCTACTGTACCTTTTTGTTGGAGGAAATTTGGTTACTTGGTGGAGTAAAAACAGAACGTAGTAGCTAGAAGTAGTGCTGAAGCTAAATTTTGATCAGTGGCTCGTGGAAGTTGTGAAGCTTTGTGGATCAAGAGATTATTGGAAGGCTTAAAAATTCCAAGATCACCAATGGAAGTGTATTGTGACAACAAGGTAGCAATTGCAATTGCTCATAATCCTGTTTTTCACGATAGAACTAAGCATATGGAAGTTGACAAGCACTTTATCAAAGAAAAGATTGAGAAGGGATTGATCTGCATGTCTTATATACCCATTGTGGAGCAGATTGCAGATGTTCTTACAAAGGGACTACACAAAGAGGCAGTTCAACCACCTAATCAACAAGCTAGCCATGGAAGACATATTCAAGACAGCTTGAGGGGGGTGTTGGAAATGGGAAGAAAATAATTCTGCCAGGATATGGCTGAATTCTTTGAGATATCACAGCTGTAAATATTTAGATTTAGTCAATACTATAGAATAGAAAAGTTTATATTTAGAATCAGAATTAGTAGCTAATTAGTAGCTAATCAGTCCTCAGAATCAGTAGCTAATTTTATGCCTTGTATCTCCTATAAATAGAGGTGCTGTGTACATTGTTTAAATATGAGAATAAGAAATATTATTCTTTCTATCTTCTAGGTTTTATCCTTGAAAGGAGTAATCTGCAACTTTCATGTAATGATAAACTCATGAAAAGATTTATAGTATTGTACATTATGCTAATCCTATGAGAAAAGAAATTTTCGATCTTTCAATCTGGATGTCTTATGATTTGTAGTGCACCTGTCATGTCCTTGGGTATCAACAGTCCTTTTACTGAAGAATCACATTTGGTTCTTCAGAAAGTATTGTTAAACGTAGATACATTGGTCCGGCCCCGATACATTGCATGGCCACATTATCGCCACATCATTTCTAGGAGGCTTCTAATGAAAAAATCACTTGTCATGTGTCGACCCCATGAGGTGACATGTGGGCCAATCACTTGAGTAAGCGTTTGCCTCTCTCACCCTCATCAGTACGTCCACAAGCTAACTTTGCACCCAGGCATGGCATCTGCCCAGCTCTCTCTGTCGTTTGGCACATTGATAGCCCCACTAAGCAAGGCTTCAACCTCAAAGACTTTACGTGTGACACCTTGATGGCTATATCATACCTATCTCTAATCCACTTTGATGCAACCAACATGGACATATCTTTGAGCGGGCCAGAACCTTGTGTATGGGATAAACTAATGATTCAAAAATCATATGGATTTAATTTTCGAAGTCATGTGTCATTGGATCATGTGGTATCTGATAGATTACAAATTGGAGGTCCAAGAACTCATAAATGAATCCATGGATAGGTCTATTCCCTTCATTACTAAAGAATTTGGTTTAGGAATATCAAAGTCCAAGCAAAGAGATGCAATGAGCAGAAAAGGACTTGACTGGGAAATATTTATTGCTTATAAATATTGGATGTATTGTAATTGCTTTTGCGGTTAGGTGACCATAAACTTGATGAACTAGTCATACCAATGCGACATGACTGTCTGCACCAGCTTCCCTTAAAGCAAATACAATCCATTCTTCACAATCACCTAGTCAAATAGGTGAAGTCTCCGAACTCCCACAGTATTATCAAAATTTTGTGGATTTGTATCCCCTCCCAAAAGACCTATTACAGGATGGCTGGGTGAGCTTAATTGGGAATGGCTTAGCCTTATTCTTCTTCTATAGGTTGTTAGATTTTTCTGGATCTTATTCTTTTTCTTCACTATTTTCCTCTTTATCTGTCTTCAGTGTCTAGTATTATTCTCCTGCCAAGGTAAGGAACAAAATTTTGTTTCAATTCTATTGAAACAGCAGAAACATATCCGTTTCCTAGGAAAATAATACACACTGGAACACACTGAAACGCTATGAAACACACTGAAACGATGAGTCGTTTTGACACCTATTAGGAATATCCTATATTTGTTATTTTCGTTTGTCAAAAGAGAAGATTTTAAACAAAGAAAAATCTTAAATTTATTTGAGAATCTGAGAATGTAGAAAGGAGAAAAGGAGAGATAGAGAGTAGATGATAGAACAAGCATGAGTAAGTTACTTATTCTATTTCTTTGTTACTGCAGAGTACTTTTTTTTGGTAAAGAATGTTATCAGTACTTTTTTCTTTTCTTTTTTGTTTTTGTTTTTCATCCTTACTACTAGAATTTTGCATTTCTTTTTAAAATGTTTTACCATACAATGGAAACCCCCCTTCCCCAACTAGGTCTTTAAATCTTCTGTTTTTAATATTTATACTCCTCAACCTGTTCAATTATTTAGTTATTGAGGGAATATATTAAGATTTATATGGGTTTTATATTTTTCAAACATTTTGCATACATTTCCAAATTCTTGTCATTTTCTTTATGTTTTCAAAACATTTTCCAAAATATTTCTGAAATGTTTCTGTTCTAAGCTAACCAAAACAACATAACAAAACGAACTTTTGATCCTTGCCTACAATTGAAATATGTGCACATTCAAGTGTCTGCTGTATTCCTACAATTGAATAATGCTCTGGTTTTGCACACTTTTTGTACTTGTCCTTTATCCCAGCACTTAAATTTTCTTGTGAAAGTTTTTTTTTTTACCTCTTCAAAAATGTAATTTAGGAATCATAAGCTTTTTCTTGTTACCTGCAGAATAGTGATGGTGGCTTTGCAACATATGAACTCACAAGATCCTACAGTTGGTTGGAGGTAAAGTCCATAAATTGTTTATGCACTTCTATGAACTGTTTACCTTCCTAGAAAATTGAATATCATGCAGCCCATAACATGTTTTCTGTTTAATTGTCTCATCCTACTCCGAGTCGGTTTTTTATGTGTATTGCCAGCTACCTTGCCATCCAACTGGTGCTTGTGTTGCTGCTAATGTTACTTGTAGGGAACACTATTACCTTTAAGCTGATTGTTTCCAATGCTTGCTTGTTTACTAGTCACATTATGTACCCAGCAACATGCCTAAACCAGCTCCCCACTGCTATCTTGTGGTCTTTCTTGAGCCCAAGGTTTTAAAAAGTGGCCGCAAACGTTACGTAACATCATTACGTAACGGTTGTGGTGGTTACCGTCACCCATTACGGCCGCTTTTGCAGTGTGATTGAGATTTACAGGTGTGTCAACCGTAGCAGCTACCGTAGCGGTCGTAACGGTGTTGTAACAGCCGTAACGGTCTGTTACGCACCGTTACATAACGGTTTTGAACTGTTTCTTTCGAAAAAACACAAAAAAAAAAACTGAAAATAGTGGAAGAGGGATAGAGAGAAGAGGGAAGATAAAGAGAGAAGATGGAGGAGCAAGAGATAGAAAGAGAGAAGAGAGAAGATGAATATGTTATTGATTTGTTAAAGCTGTAAGACCTATGCTATTCTATTCAACTGCTATCACTCAACCATTTTGTTTGTGTGTGTTTATCTATATATTGTTTGAAAATAATAATAATAAATGTGGTCATTTTTTATTTGGCTTGGTTAAAATATGTGTATATATATATTTAGGCTCTTATTTATTCTCTTACTTTTGTCATTGTTTATATTATATATAATAGTTAGTGATTAATTTTTTGTATAATATAAAGTCATTAATTATTAAAATAAAATGTAAAAAGTTCAGTTTATAATGATTTAAAAATATGAAATATATTGGATCATAATTAAAAATTTACAAAAATTGATTAATATTTATTTTAAACCCAATAAAAATAAATATGATCATGGAAAAAAAAATATGCATATCGGTAAGTTTTTTTCAAATTGAGTGAAAAATAAAAAAATTCACGATTCTGGTTATCGCAACTGTTACGCTACGGCCTTTAAACCCCGCCACCGTTACAGTGACCGCAACCGCTTTTCAGAACCTTGCCTGAGCCATATTTGATATTGATAATAAACATATTATTTGACCCATATTCATTAAACCAAAAAATGGCATGGTTTATGGATTTGCTTTATCCTGCATTTCATTTTAATAAGACAGAATCAACTAGTGCAAGATTGAGGAACAAATCTTAGTAGCAGGAATCGTCTCAGATGGCGACGACTCCGAGGAAAAAGTGCGATTTTGCGCTTCTGAGGAAGAATCGCAGCAGAATCGCGAATCTGAGGAGAGGGAAACGCGAATCTGATGCGAGAAGGGAGCACTATTGAGAGGGCAAGGAGAGTACCTGGTCACTGGCGCCGTTTGACGACTTCGATCTCGCCGTTTGACTTCCCCGTCGATGCTGCTAATGTTACTTGTAGGGAACACTATTACCTTTAAGCTGATTGTTTCCAATGCTTGCTTGTTTACTAGTCACATTATGTACCCAGCAACATGCCTAAACCAGCTCCCCACTGCTATCTTGTGGTCTTTCTTAAGCTGAGCCATATTTGATATTTTGATAATAAACATATTATTTGACCCATATTCATTAAACCAAAAAATGGCACGGTTTATGGATTTGCTTTATCCTGCATTTCATTTTAATAAGACAGAATCAACTAGTGCAGGATTGAGGAACAAATTATTCCTTTAATTGTTGAATATTGTAAGTTCCAAAGGAGCTTACGAGTCTTTTGATTTAAACTAATATTGAGCAGTTTTTCTCCAGGGAAAAAAAAAATAATTGACATTTTTTTTCTTTCCTCTCTATGTTCTGATACAAATTCCATATATATATATATATATATTGTCACAATACTGTGTGCTCGTTCATCTTATTATAGAAGATGGGCCTACATAAATGTAAGGTTTCTATTCTCAACATGGGATGATGGCATATTTTCAGTTTCTCTTCCAGTAAGTTCCTTGAAACTATTTGCCATTTGTACTAGGATGTGGGTATATGTATTCACATGGAAATATCCATGTGATGCATGTAAGTAAAAATGATTTAACTATCAGCAGTGTTCTAAAACTGGACTGGTCCAGATAGTTGTTTCTTCCAGATTGTGATTTTAATTATGATTTTTGCAGCTGTCCTAGTCTTTCTTTTTCAAGGTTGGTTTGTTTAGAGAGGGAAGAATAATATTGTATTGACTCTCTTGATCTGATTACAACGATTATACCCCCAATTATATAAGAGAAAAACCCTAAAGAGAGATAAACTAAACAACTTACCAAAACAAATATGGAAACTACCAAAACTAACTGAACATTTCTTTCACTCACCCCTCAAACTCATGATGTGAGCCTGGTAAAACGTTAAGATTTTGTCAAGTAAAAACTAAAAAGGAGCAGAAGTACTAGTCTTGGTGAAGAAATCCTCAATCTGCAAAGAGGAGGAAACAAAGGGCTAAGTAATGGTACCTAACTATAATGATGGCGAACAAAGTGACAATTGGTCTCAATGTACTTTGTGGTGCTCATGGAAAAGTGAGTTGTGGGCAACCTGAATAACACTTGTATACAGTAGAAAGGAGTAAGAGAGGACATAGAAACACCCAAATCAAAGAGAAGCCAACAAAACCAAACAGTCTTAGTTGTGTCATGCTTATCCTCAACAGTAGAGATAAGGGATAAGAGTCTCCAAGAGAAACACAAAATCCAATAGCGGGCTTGTGATCAAAAATATCATGAGCCCAATTAGTATCTGTATAAACCTGAAGTACAAGAGAAGAAATAGAAGTCATCAACAAACTCAAAACAATAGTACCTTGAACATAATAATACCTAACAAATCAACCTGATTTGTAAAGTGGGGCAAAGACAAACGGACTAATCATGTGAACAACATAGGCAATATCAAGACGACTCACACCAAGATAAACCAAACATCCAATTAATTCCTAATATAAGGTATGGCCATCATGAAGAAAATCATTAGGAGAGAATTTGGCGTGCAGCTTAATGTGAGTATCAATGACTTTATCATCAATGAGTCTGGCATGACAGATGATCTAATGTGCATACTTGGACTAAGATAAAAGATAGCCCTTGGGGGAATAAGCCACTTCAATGTCAAGAAAATTAAGAGATCCCAAATCTTTCATCTGAAATTCCTGAAAGAGATGCTGTTTCACCTCAATAATAACAATCACATTAGCACCAGTGATGTCATCAACATATAACAATAAAACAACTATCCCAAGAGTGCTATGACGAATAAAGAGAGCAGAATCATGAGCACTAGGGTGAAATTCAATTTGAGTAACAGTCGATGGAAAGCTCTCATACCAGGTGGTATGAGGGGACTATTTGAGACCATGCAGAGGGCAATGGAGACGACAAACATATCCAATGGGACAAGAAAAATCCGAATGACCGCATATAAACTTACTTATTAAGATGAATGCATTATTGACATCCCGTTGAGAAAGGGACCACCGATGAACAATAGCCATAGAACTCTAGGAATCAACTCTCAGGTGCGAGTTTTCTCAAGAGCATTTAACTCATCTTGCATAGCACGCATCCAATTAGGATAAGTGTTGGCGTCCTTATAAGATCAAGGGTCGAAGTAAGCATGAATAGAAGATAAGAACACTTGATAGGAGGTAGAAAACCAAGAGTTAGCAAAACTAAGTCTTACCAGTGGTTGACTAGCATGAAGGGGATAGCCTGTCAGGAGGATCAGAGTCCACAGAAGCAGTTGGATTAGTAGAACTAACGAATATAGGCAGAGAGGAGGAGCATTCTTGCAAGAATAAACCAAAAGAAAAGACGAGATCCTTGTAGTAGTAGTAGGAGAAAAGGGAAGGTCAGAAACATCAAGAGTATATTATACTCATCAAATACAAGAAAAATGATCAATATGAATCAAGTCCTCCTTGGACATGTGAACCGTCTTTGGAGGAAGAGAAAAGAATGGAAGGCGCTCACACAAACTAATATGACGAGAAACATATAAATAATAACTTTTTAGAAACTGGTTCATAACACTGATAACCTTTTTGATGAATGAATGAGCATTGATCTTGTTATGCTCCTTTCTAGGAAAGAGAACAAAACAAGCGAACTCACATGATAAAGCATAATTAGGATTTTTACCGAACGACCTTTTATTTGGTGAAAGACTAGAAAGAAGAGGATTGGGTATACGATTGAGAAAATAGACTGTAGTAAGGAAGGCCTCACTCAAAAAAACAAAGAGAATAGAGGAACGGGAAGGGATCTAGCAGTGTTGAGGATGTGCTGATGTTTTCTTTTGCTTTACCATTTTGGGTTGGAGTATCTGAACAAGAAAGTTGATAAATTGTAATAGATGAGTCTAGGAATTGAGATACTTTATAAGAAAATGTTCACCACCTAAGTCGAATCAAAGGCTTTTGATAGTTGTGGAAAAATTTGTTTGGACCATGGAATGAAATGAACGATAAATGCGAAAAAATAGACAGACACGAGATATTTCCAAGCGATTGTAATCATCAACACACCTAACCACCTTTAGTAGCAGTGTTTTAAAAGGCGCGCTGAGCTCAAGGTGCATGGCTGCGCTTCGAATAGGCCGGGGCAAGGTGACGTATGTGAGGCACAACTTAGGCGATGAGGTGTTGCTCTTTTTGAGGTGTGAGGCGATGGGCTTTTGCGCTTTACCTGTTTTTTGACTCTAATGGTTGATTAAATGGTTTTTCTGTGTGCATACCCACATGGAATCAAAACTCTTAAATATAAAATGACCAAACGTGGTCTAAAGAGAGTAGAAAATGATTAAAACAAATGCTAGGTTGTGGGAGATCAGAAAGTGAAGACGACACGACTACGACTATGACTTCCTGTTC